CATATTAAATTACCTGTTCGACGACGGTAACTTTAAGGACAAGACAAGCCATAACAGAAGCAATCATCTGTGAAGTCCAATAGAACATAGCGGTTGGAACGCTAATCCGACCAGCAACCGCCATTCCAAACGTGACCGCTGGATTCACATGACCACCAGAAACGTTCCAAGAGATGTAAACCGATGAAGACAACGCAAACGCATTCGCAATCGCCGGTATTAACACACTAAACGGACCCGTCACATCACCCGCCATCAACTTCCCTGTTAATATAACAAACAAACACACAGATTAAAGATTTCTTCTTTACTAATCAAGAAAAAAGATTTCATATTAGAAACAGAGTAGTAATATTTTACTTGAAGCCATGACGGATCCAACGGCTGCGAGGACGAAGAAGAAGGTAGAGATAAACTCAGAGAGATAACATCTCAAAGCATTCATACTTATTACTCCTTGAAACTTGCCCGATAACGATGTCGGAATCATTCTTCTCATCAATAATTTTCTCTCTGTTTCTGTTGTTTAAGTGAACGTTTGATATAAATCTATAAATATTAAGAGAACGGTAATCGATGAAAAAAGCAAAAATTAACCGTTCCAATACAAACGGGTTTTACTGGCGAGTGGGGAAGTTATTTACAGTTTTTTAATTTTTGTAAATTACACCACGTTCATAAATTATACTTTTTCATACCTTCAATTTTGTTGGTTTTAGATTTAACCCTTAAAATTGTAAAACTGAGATGTGCATATATTCAAGTGAGTTTACAGTACACGTTCGCTATATTCATCCCAAACAACATATATATGTAAGTACATTCCTTAGATCTCATTTACATCTCACGATGGCCAATTCCTATACCAACCGGCCCAAGCCGAAACTAAACCACTTATACCGAGTGTAACCGTGTGGTTACAAAACGGGTTCGGTTCAATTTCCGCCAATGCGATAATCAAATCCGCAACGTTGGCCGAAATTCCCATCAACCTCATCACTATATCTCCTCGAATCTCCCTAATTTTCCCGCCGGTTTCTTCTTTCGATTCATCGGTCGGATATCGGAGTTTTTTCAAGGATTCGAGTCTTTGCCTTATGAAGATGCAATCAATGAAGATGAAGAAAATGTAGCCGAAAGATTCGCCAAAGGCCGAAATGAAACTCATTCTCTTGGCGATCTTGGGGTCTAGTGTACCAATTCTTGATAACCAAAGAAAGTGATCAAAGAAGAAGTAAACCATCTCTCCTGAATTGGCTAGGACCGCCAAGAAACGGATCATAGGGGTTGCACCAGGGTTTCGTCTCAGCGCATTGAACCCCGTGAGAGACCTCCCAGTCCTGATTCACGTAAATCCACCATAGATTAACAATGATACTTACCGTTAAAATATACTTACAACATATCTATTCGATTATAATCTTCATTTACTATAAAGTGTTTATTATTAGATAATATGGATCTTACTAGTGACTATTCAAATCTGCTATATGAGATTCGATATTATAATCAACAAGTGAAATAAACAATGTAAA